ATATTAATTATATGTACATTTTTAGTTCGAATATCCTTTGTAAAATGCTACTTCAATACTCATTAAAATTTCCGGATCCGATCGGATCTTTTTTGCGGAACACTACAATGCACTATTTACATGAAACGTAACAAAGTAATTTATGTAATACATCCCTAAATTAAATGTAATTTTAAAATCGGCTAAGCCGACTAAGCTGGTAAATTTATCGGCTTAAAAATTTTGATCGGCCAAAATCACTAAACACGAAGATCACACACGAAATTTTTTTCTCGTGACGGGTTTTCTCTTCGCTAATTTTGAAAAAGTATTAACATGCTTTCGACTAAGAAACATCACCTTGAACATTCAGTGAAACTGTCATATGAGATCTATTCATGTTCCTCATTCACAGCACCTTACCACCCACGTAACATTATGGAAGATAAACCTTCTGAACAGTCTTCTCGTTGGTCAAGCAAAAGCAACGATCAAATGCAATATGTACTTATTAAACTTGAATCGATGGCTATTGTTCGTATCCTTTTTGTTAAGTCGCTTGCACAGAGAAATACTTATTTTTAAACCGCATGTATAAAAATAAGTATATTTCCTAAACAACTTTATTGTAGATAGCATTACATTTGGAAAATATCATAAAGGTAATTTTAACTATAGTAAATGCATTTTCGATATACGTATTCATAACACACGTTTTTTTTCAACATATTTTATAGAGCATGTATGTAATTTGAAGCAATTCAAAGTTTATGGAGGGTTAACACCAAACAATATGATTGAATTGCTTCACAGTGGTAGCTAGTGAAATTTTTAATTCAATTACGTTTATGTAATCAATTATGAAATATACTAAAAATTTATAATATTTTTAGGACTACGGAATAACTCTCGACCAGAAACTTTTCGGTTGAAACATAGAACAAATCAAGTTGTATGTCAAGCATATCAAATATTAACGCAATTATGTTCGTTTTACAAAATTTCTTGCTAACCATGTTTTTGGACACATAATCCATATTTTACACAGTTACTGCCATGCCAATATATTAAAATAGTTCCACTGGCTGCTTATGGTTCGGAATTCAATTTTAGTATATGGTATATTGAACTGAAAGGAGTTCAAAGTCCAGAAATTGTTCAACAGGTTTATTTTGACTACATTGAGGTAATTAATTAAATTCAATCAATTAAACAAATCCTTCGATTTACATGTTTCCATTGCAGTTCCGTGAAAATGAAGCGATACGTCTTTGCCTAAAGCATTTCCGCCAGCGAAATTATTTGGATGCTTTTAATACATTACAGTCAAAAACTAAGACGCTGCTTGAAGATCCCTTCATTACTGAACTGTATGTGCAGATAGTTTTAAATGGTGATTTTCAAATGGCTGAAGATACTATGGTCAATGCTGCCAAAAAGGGGCTTTTTGAGGAGTATATTCGTAATTGCCCATATAATCATTTTTGGAAAAAAATTGAAGCTACAGACGCTTGTGGGTATCAAAAGGCATAATAGATTGTAGTAACTATAGCTTGAACCGTTTTATGTAATTTTACATCCGAATTGCAATTTAGATGGTGTCTCTCCATGCACACGAGGTGGGCATCAAATGTGTATTGACGTTGAGGTGAGTGCCTATAAATTGATTTTTATTTGAACAAAAATCTTTATTATTAAAGTAAAATAAAACTCTTTCAAGGCTGGTCAAATTTATTTATTAGGAGGTTGGGATGGTAATAATAATTTAGCTGATTTTTGGAGTTATGATATAAATAAAAAAAAATGGAATCTCATTAGTAATAATACCAGAGAGTAGGTTTACACATTTATATTTTTGTTATATTTTTATTGCTGTATTGTCGCGGAATAACGGCATGGGCGTTATTTAGCAAATCGTACCTTATGAAAATTGCATAGATGATTTCAAAATAACGTCCATGCGCGTCCCGAAATAACACGCGCCTCGTATAAGGTGTAAAGTTGCAGGTGAAACTGGTGAAATTTGGTAAATACTGGTGAAAATGAATATAATAGCCAATAAGAAACTCGGGTTGAAACTATGGAGAAACTCAAAATTGCAACTCTAATTAGGTGTCAACCCGGGTATATAATAATTTGAAAAACCGGGTTCGGGAAATTATCCTTGCCTCAAAATAACACCATGTGCGTACTCTAAATAACGCGCAGGTGGGCGTTATTCCGCGACAATACGGTACTTTCAATTTTATTATCGCATCTAATTAAATATTAATTTAGACAAGGAGGGCCTGGTCCAAGATCGAATCACAAGATTTGCTTCGATCATACCATGAAGCGGATATATGTTTTTGGCCGGTTTATTGGTCGTGGCGCCCGTGCTAATGCGAATTTTAATTCAGATTTCTATAGTTATGATATAATAAATGACAGATGGGTCAAACTATGCGATAACACTGCGGTATTTTTTAACACTTTTAAAATACAATGTAAACTCATATTGTGTTGTTTAATTGGACAAGACTTTTAAATTTGTTCTTTAGCTTGTTGGTGGTCCTTCATTAATTTATGATCATCAAATGTGTATCGACTCGGAGGCTCAAATGATTTATGTATTTGGCGGACGCACAGTGCATCCCGATACGGAACCTTTTACTTATAGTGGCTTGTACAGTTATAATATAAGATCTAAAGAATGGAAGTTAGTCAGGTCAGATATTTTATTATTTTCAAGAGCTTATTTTATATAATTATTTGTTGTAAAATTTTAATTTAAAATGTTAATTATAGGCCTAGCGATGAGTCAAATACTGACTATGTTCCACTTAAATCACGCATCGGACATTCAATGTTATTGGATCAGAATGAAAAATTGCTATTCATAATAGGAGGAGATCGAGATAACACTTTTTTGAAGTTTGTATAATAATATACTATATTGATAGATGACAAAATCTTACAATAATAATTTTGACTTTTATCAATTTAATATTACCAGTGACTTTTTAATCTACGATATTAATGCTGGCTTAGTTCACGAGTTAATTGCCGATTATGCAACACATGAGGACCATGATACTGTTTTCACACAACGCACAACCTTTGATGTGGATACGCAAGAATTTTATGTTCTTTCTGGTTTGAAAGATAAGAAAGACAAAAGGTCTCAAGCTATCAAAAACTCGTTTTGGGTATATGATCTGCGATTAGACAAGTGGACTAAAATCTATCAAAGTGAAGTCTGTGGTGCTCAATATTGGGAAAGCAATGAAACAACTGAACCGCGGCCGAGATACGCGCATCAAATGGTATTCGACAACATTCACAAAGTCCAATACGTATTTGGTGGGAGAGCTGTTGAAACCGAAGTACTTAAACAACAGAGACTGGATGATTTTTGGGAATTACATTTAGTCAGGTATAAGATAATGTAACTGTTGATTTTATAATATTTTATTACTTTCTGATGTTTTATCAATTAAAGACCAGAACCTGAAGATTTATTACGGCGTATTCAATTCCAGATAAGGAAGCAAAAGTAACAAATATGTCCTTCATGTGAAAGCCGTATTACATTTATACTTTATGGTCTCACTCACCTATTATTTTGATCAGATTCCGAGAAATGTGTTACGAGGGCGACACAGTTAAAGCACTTAAGTATCTTCAAGTTCAACTCGGTCAAGTCGTAAATCACTCGATTGAGGCTGAAAGCGCTGAATTCCGCGAATTGACTTCGTACCTATTTCACAAAATTGGAGGTAATAGTCTTTAATTCCATTCAATTTTATAGAAAAATTCTTATATAAAATTACTATTATTATAGATAAAACACCCGGTTCTTTTAATTCGCGTACAGAATTATTTGAGAATCTTTTAGAATTTTTTCCGGATACAATGAAACAGCCAAAAGACAATTTAATTGATTTAGTGAAAGTCGAGTAGATTCGTGTTTATTAGAATTTAATCGATATTACCGCCTATTAGTAACTATTAATCATGAAAAGTAGATTCATTTCCAATCAATGCTAAATATTTCGGACTTGTAAATATGATAATTTCTTTGTACACCAGGTATAATTGTATTTTTATTTGTAAAGTATAAATTTGCGCGTTTTTACACCCTGAATGAATCTTATTACCTCAAATTTATGGTAGTGCATCTATGTGCTCCCATCAATTGTATATTTTGGATGGCCGGATCTTTTTGAGCTGTCCGGCTGACAATTAGAATTATAAAAAAACTCGAGCACTTCTACCATCCCATAAACGCTATATACATATGTGTGCAAACTTGACTCTGGCCAACTCTTAAGGCAGCTGTCGACCTAATATTTGATGACTTTTCTAGGAATGCTAATGAGTCTGATATATATAGTTGGGTTTTACCACAAAATCCCGACATCCAAAATCTCGACAGGCTATGATAGGCATCACGCAACGTGACAATTAAAATTTAAAGATTGTTAATGTGATTATTAATCTTTAGAAATTAATTGTCACGTCGGGATTACGGTTTCGACATTTTGGATGTCGGGGTTTTGTGGTAGAACCATATAATCGACTCCGGATATACTGAACTTGCTCATCCAGTCGTACCCTAAGATAGAATAACCGGTTACCCGGATATCTGCGTTGTAAAATTGATTACCCAGTTAACTTAATTATCGCGTCGTGTGATGTCGGTTCAAACACTGCTTATGATTAGTCATCATGATGAATATAGGATAACTTTCTCGTGATTGGTTGATCACGTAAATTGAATATTGCTCATGATTGGTCACTTTGCAGATCATGTGCCAACTGGCCAATCAAAAATTTTCATTTATTATAAACGATATCGATATAACGATAATATATACACTAGTTTTTTAACCCTCGTGATACTTCGGGAGTTAAAAATATCTAGTAGCAATTTGTTTAGAAAATCCTTAAAAATATATCCGGGATAGAGGTTATTATCCTGTCTAGTGTTGGCAATTGGACAACTGGAAAATCAAATCAACCAATGATATTAAATGATTAATTGAAAAATTGAACTGGAACAATTGGGCAATCAAATGATGAATATCATTGGTTGGTCCAATTGTCCAATTGTCAACACTGATCCTGTTTCTCAATCTTAGTTTTTTAGGGTTAGGGTTAGTTAGCACGTGATAACTATTTAAGTTTAATTTATTTATTTTTGGTTATAGGTTAAGAGTCTATATTTTAGATATATTTTTTAAGAATATTTATTTGTTTAATCAAACAAATGATCAGCATAAATGTGTTGTGAAGAGGCAAGTTTTTGTTAATCATTTGTCTAGTTAAGTCAGTTTTATGAATTTTTTATTATTTGAACTAATTCAAGTATTATATATATTTGTATTTTAATATATTAGGTTATATATATATTTGAAATTTTATTATTTTATATACAGTCAGACCTCTATATAGTCATCTCCTCTATAGTCACATTTACTTATAATCACATAAATTTTTAAAACCAACTTATATAGCACTTATAAAATTTAACCTCTATATAAGCACAAACTCTTTATAAGCACCAAATTTTTAAAATCAAGGGTATGACTATAGAGAAGTTTGACTATATATAAGTTATATATATTATTTGAATTATTTTATATTGAGGTATATAACAATTATGCAAGTTTATTTGCAAACATAATACAGATTATATAGTGATAATCATTAGTTAATTTTTTTAATTTAGTTTTTTTTTTGTTTAAAGTGAGGTTTTGCCTTTATTTTTATTTATTTGTATTGGATAATCATTAGAAGTATTATTGGTTGAAGTTAGTTTACAAATTTTTAACAAGAATAAGACTTAGATTATAGATTATAAAATCTAATTTATTTGTATATAATTTAAATCTACTAGAGTAGTTAAAATTTACCTAAATTAAGTAATTTAAAATATAATTGGTAGAAGTATTATATTTATCTATTCAGTTATTTATCTATTTATTTTTTTAATAACTTTACTAAATATCAAACAAATTTTATAATTATCATCTATATATTGTTGTTTAGAAAAGTTACAAGTATAATTATATATATATAGTCGGATCTCCCTAAATGCATATTCCCTAAATGCATATATATGAAAAACTTTCCTAAATACATGTCTTTTCTTGGGCCCAACTAATATAACACCTATAGATTTTTATCTCTCTAAATGCATAACCTCTCTAAATGCATATTTTTAAATTTTTTTACTATTGTCCTAATGTTATGCATTTAGAAAGGGTTGACTATATGTAGTTTTGAAATATCAAGAATTAGGATTAGATAAATTGTTTATTATTTGTTAATTTTGTAAAAGCTATTTTGGTATATTGTTTTGTTGTTTTTATTCAGCTAGTTTTGTGCAATAGGGTTTCTAGTGATAGTTATAAATTTTTTGTAAAATAATAATAGGAATTTAATTGTTAAATCTGTAGCTATTTTGTTGTTATTTGTATATTTATGAATAGTTTAAATAAGTAATATTAAAATATATCTTTTTATTGTAATATATAAATTGATATCATTTGGTTATCATTGATTTGGTAAAAAGTATTAATGATTATTAAGTAGATAGTGTAGCTCGTGAAGCTATACAGTAGTAATATCTAATTTTGAGAAACAAAAAAATTTATATATAATATTGGTAATAGTAAATTTTAGATTTAATAAACCTAAATATATTAACCAGTAGATGTGTTTTTCATAATGTTTATATATAATATAATTTATATCTAAAAATATGTTTAAATATAGTATGTGAAAGTATGACATAGTAGATAGTATATCTAATATTAATTTGATTTTAAAGATTTTTTCTTGGCATAGTTTAAAATTTATATAAAATAATATTCTTTTGCTATTATTATTTAGATATAGCCATATAAAGTTCTAGTTAATCTGTAAGAATATAGGTATAATATTTTTTGTATAATATTAAAAGAATCATATAGCAATAATATAAGCATTGTATATATTTTTAATTAATCTATAAGTAGGTTGCTTAAATATGTATTTTTGGTATTGCAAGCAAAATAATGAGTTATAGATATTGTTTGGTATAAAATTAAGTATGTATAGTTAATTTAAATTTCTAGTTAACTTATTAGCAGTATTGTTAAATAGGTTGTTACTATATACTATAACTTTTTAAAAATTAATTTAGAGTTTATGTGTGTGAATATAGTTTTGTAAAATATGCTATATAGATCAGTAATTATATGAATATTGTTTAACTATAGGTAGTATTAATTTAACTTATTAAGTTTTAAAATTATAGATTGAGAGTTTGTATAAATTGTGATATTGCTAGATTGTGAGCAAATACTGTATATATTGCAGATAATATTATAATAAGTTTAGGGAATTGCTATTCGCATCATATTTTTTTGCTATTCACATTATAGTTATACTGAAGATTATCTTGATTTTATCTTTTTATTGTTTATAAAAATTTAAAAACTTTAATTGAAGATATTTTGGCAACTACTTGACCAAATTTTTTTTATTTGAATTCTACAGATCTGTAGAATTCAAATAAAAAAAATTTTATCAATTTTGGTTAAGTAGTTGTTGAGATATCTTCGATCAAAGTTTTGGTATAAATATTAGTACAGCTATAGTATTAAGTAATATTATAAAATTAAACTATGCACAACCTTATATTTGATAAATAAAAATATTAAATAAGTATTTAAATTTAATATTATTTAAGTATTTAAAATTTTAAATACTTAATTAATATTAGGCTATATAAAGTTAATTTTTTGGTTCTTATAATATAAAATTTGAAAAATAACCCAACAACCTAGCTTTTAATTTTATTTTCAAAAAATTTTATATATAAAAAAGTATATAAAATTTTTATAAACTTATAAAAAAACTTTACGTGGATAGTAAATATAGTCAAAATTTTCTTAAGAATTTTGTGAAATTTGATCCAGCTAGATTATAAGAACCAATTTATTAAGTTTGTATAGCCTTATATTTAGCTTAATAGTAAAATTTATTTATAAAATTTGCAAATAATAGATAAATTGTTTATTAATTATATTTTAGAATAGCTTTAAGTCTTATACAGAACAAATATATTTTTGTTATATCTAACTAATATAAAAAGAACAATAAATAACAGTTCTAATAATTAATTTATTATAAACCTTTATAATATTTTTAGAGGTTAGGGCTCTGACATTTATTACCTAATATTCATTTATTATAGAACTCTACCCCTCCCCCAGATAATATTTTTATTAACCAATTAAATTTTAGTATTATATTGAGATAAGGTTTGGCTTTACCCCTACTCTCTAAAATATTATCTAATAAATGTCAGTACCCTTATTGAATTCAAGATTTATTAAATACCTATTATCTATTTTTTAAAATTTTGTTTGTTTATAATTTTATTTTATTTTTTTTAATATCAAAGTGATCTTATAGTCAGTTATCTTTATTAGTTTATGTGCTAAGCTAATTAAAATCAGCCACTACTTATTTGGTATATAGTTTTGGAAAATACAACTAGCTATATATACTAGTCTGCCTGAAGGTTTTACACTAGATGCTATATCTATAATCCAACTAGAAATTATCTATTTAAATCTTCTGCATCACTACATCTTTATAAGGAACCAATATTTGCTATAGAAAACATATTAATCTAGAGCTAATTTACTCTTGAGGTAAACTTGTTAAAGCTTTCTATATCTACAATCTGACTAACCTAGACTTTGATAACTTATACTAAATCTAAGAACAAATATTTGTGAGCTGAGACTACTACTATTATCTACTTTTGACCTTGTAGAGTTTACCCAAACCCGGTATATACTTTACAAACTATTATTAGTTTTAATCTCAACAATCTCAAACTATTAATCCAGATAGCCCAGAAGGGCTATGACCTACTCCTGGTCTATACAGTTAGGTTCTTT